GACAGCTTTTCCCAAAAGGCAAGAAGTGGGGCAATGGAGATTCCTGCCCTTGGGAAGAGAAGTTGGAAAATATAGCGCAGCTATTCTGCAAAAAATAATTCAAGAGGAATTCTGCCAAAGGATGAAGGGTATTTCTGTTTAATGCTGAAGCCAAAGTAACTTGCAGGAATGGTTATGAACAGATAATAATTTGCACAGCCAGTCAATTTTGAATTGGTGGTCTACTAGGGCTTCCACTAGCCAAAAATGGGATAATTTACGCATCCAGAACAATGATTACAAGTGATGAATACATAAAAAGCCATGAGTTCGATACTGAAAAAATGAAAAGGAGGTGAGGCGGGGACCTCTGAACACCAATGTAGATAGCTAGGCATAAACCACTATGCTTAAAATTGATGAGGGAAAGAAACAAGCAAGTTTTCTACCTTTCCAGTATGAATTATATTATGTCAGGATAGCCAAAGTCCTAATAGATGACAGAAAGTTCTCTACAAAATTCCAGCTCATAAATGCAGAAGGAATGTGAAAATGACCATTTTGCAAGCTTAAGTGAAAGCACGGATTTGGGCAGTAGTGGTCACTGGATGGTACAACCAGTACATGAAAAGCTAATGGGTACCACAACGGAGGCATCGGCCCCAGACTGAAAACCCCCATGCCCTCTTTGCTGAGGCGCCTACACCTGTGATGAATCTAGAATAATCTTCTGGCTCCCAGTCCTAGAAGGATGGCCCCAATGCCTAAATTTAGATGACACCCCGTCCCTTCTTGCCCTATATGAACCTTATACAACTGCCACTTTCCATTAGCCTAAATCTTGTGCAACCAAAAGAACCTAAAACAAGGCAATGATTACAAGCAATTAAAATACTCAAAGTTTTTATCATATTAGTTGCCAGAATATTCTACATTTTTAGTTTTTCAAGACATGGTGTTTAAAGCACACTTAGATACATACATACCTGCCCTTCTTCCAACATTAACGGTTTTATTTCTATATCTTGACACATGCTATTATAGAAGTCATTCATGGCACTATTTAGTTTTTGATAGTCAACTTCATGGTCTAAAAAGGGATTGCACCCTTTTATAATAACCCAGAAGCAACCTGGATCTTCAATCTGTAAAATGTTTAAAAGACAAACAAAACAATGAATGATTTAAAAACAGAACCATAAAATAATAACTCTTAGAATCACAATAACTGTTTTTAAGTGATCTAACAAATTCTTGATGAAGTACTTCTGTCTTGAATGGTTCAGACCAAAAATAAAAGACACTCAATATATACGTATATCAAATAATTATGTTGTACACCTTAAACTTACACGATGTTAATTATATTTCAATAAAGCTGGAAGAAAAGATTAAAGACACAAATTCTAAAACATGGCACCAGTAATGTGATTCTTAATTACACACTGTGACTCAAAAAGCAAAAAGATCAATGTCCTCGAGCTCCTGTATTTTGAAAATATTCATAACAAAATACTAAAGCAAGGTTCAGAACAATGTTTTTGGTATCCTACATCTTTTGTAAGAAAGAAAAGGAAATATGTACATTCTGCTCATGTTAAAAGAAATCAATGATTGCAGATAAACTGAAACAAATACTAATTATTACCTACAAGGAAGCCAGGAATGGGGGAGAAGAGACAGGGATGAAAGTCACACTTCTCTGAATGTATCTTGTTATGTACTAATGTTATTAGAAACCAAGATTTTCATTGTTAAAAGATACATATGTAAAATGAAGTTAAATTTGAATTGAAAATAGCAATAAGAACTCATTTGTGTATTTATCTCATGTATTTATTTCCTAATTGTGCCTAAAAGGACCTAAAAGCAATGACATCCCAAGATTTTGGATCCTAGGTACCAGGAAGCAGGAATAAGGTGTTTGCAAAAGTATTCTATTTTTCTGAATGTTGGAACATTTTTATAAGAAATCATTGGAAAAAAGAACAGTTGCCCATTCTGGTTCCAGTAATGGCAGAGTAGTTTATATGGACTAACCCACCTGCAGGTAACAACTATAAATCCTGGAAAAAAAACACAAAATAATGATTGTAAGGCACTGAAGAGATACCAAAAGCAGGTAGAAACTGGAGGGGATTCAACCCTTCAAAGGAGGACCCATCACTGAGTGAAATCCATGTTTATATACAGCTGTCCCCAAAACCCTCCCCAGCCCAGGGGTGCGGAGCAGCTAAGAACTCAAGCAGAGAGCCAGAATGTGGCTGGAGACATCAGAAAACATAATATAAGGCTGCCAAAACAGCTATAAATTAAGGGGAGAAATTCTGAAAGAGAATCACAGATCGGAGAGTCCTAAAGTCTGCATAAGAAAATCTCTCAAATTCTTAGCAGATCCTGAATTGCACAGGTGAGACTCCAAAGGAGTCCAGAGAAAAGCGACACTGGAAGGCTGAGAAAAATTATTTAATAGTCACTGCCCATGAGAACTGCAGAACTCTCAGCACATAATGACTTGTCCAAACCTCTGCACTGAGGCCACCCAAGCATGACTTCCAGCAGCATAAGTCTGTATCCCCGGGATGACTCCAGCCCCTCTAAAATGGCTGCCGGAGGAAGCTCAAGGTGCCAGAATTTACTGTTTTTTCTAGCCAACCCTGGCACAGACCCTTGACCTCTCTTTATTATAGCAGGTACTAAAGGGCTTACGATTGTGAGTCCTTCCTGTCCCTTTGAGATGTGTATAACTGCAGAACCAGCTCAAAGCAGTCTTCTCCTGTTTCTTATAAGATACTGAGTTGTTTTTCAGGGATGATTAAGCATAACCGTAAGTCACGTGGCTGAAGTATGTGCAGAGGAGAGAATTTCGACCTATAACACCTGGAACCAAAGTTTCCCCGCCACGCCACGGAACTAAAGAGCTGGGACTTGACTGGAACTCGATCACAGGAATCCTTTCAGAAGCGAAGGGTCCGTTGTCCAAAAAGATCTGGTGCCGAAGCCCTCCAATTGAAACCTGCCCCGCCAGCGCTTCTGCATACCAGCCCATCCTTCCCTAAACTCTTAAAATTCCATGCCAAATCCTGTCTCTTTGCCAGTCCACCTCGCAAAAAAGCCTTTTCTTTTCTCAAAAGCTGATGTCATCGTATTGGCTTCTATGAGAGTGGGCAGTGAACCCTTGCTCAGTAGCATGTATATGTATCTCCTACTACTACTCAGGAGGAAGTCTTTCTCAGGGACCTGAAAGCCATCTTTTGAAATTTAATCTTCAAGAAGGACACGTCTTCCATCAACACCTGTGAGAATGGATAAAATTTATAAAACTGACAACATCAAGTGCTGATGAGGATGCAGAGCAACTAGAACGCATACATTTCCGATAGGAATGGAAATGGAAATTACTTTGGAAAACGGTGTCACGTGAAGTTAAACATACAGGTAATCTCAGACTAGTTATTTACCCGTGAAATAAAAACTTGTATGCAAAAACCTGTATGCAAAGTTTACAGCAGCTCCATTTACAATTTCTAAAAATGAGAAACTCAAATGACCTGCAACTGGTAATTGTATATACTGTCACTTATCCATACGATGGAATACTACTCAGCAACACGAAAGTAGAAACTGATAAATACAACATAAATGAGTCTCGAATGCATTATACTAAGTCAAAGAAGCCAGACTCAAATGCTGCAGGCTACTGTATGATTCCATGTGCACAACTCCATTTTTATGACATTCTGGAAAACGCAAAACTAACAGGAACAGGAAATAGACTGGCAGATTCAAAGGACTAGAGGTGGGAAGAACTGAATACAAAGGAGGACGAGGTAATTTGGGAGAATGACATAACTGTTCTGTATTGTGACTGTGGTGATTACATGACTGCATGCATTTTTCAAAATATTTTCAAAATATTACACAGAATTCTACATTAAAAATAATGAATTTTAGCACATACAAATTATACCTCAATTTAGCAGTTTGTGGGTTAAAAAAAGATGTGATGCAAATATGGCAAAATGTTAAGATTTGACAAAGCCAGACGGCAGATGTCTAGGTGTTTATAATCATATTTTCTACACTTTTTTCTATGTCCAGAATATTTCCTAATAAAAAGTTAGATTTTTAAATTATTTATAAAATCAAAAGTAATGATCTTTTAAAAAGCTTCTTGTCTTCTAATGTATTATCACCTATGTAGTATTTTTACTAAAAATGTTTAACCCAAGCAATCATGAGGAAACAAATTCAAATTGAGGGATATTTTGCAAATGAACTGCCCTTACTCTTCATAAATTTCAATGTCATCAAAGATAGAAAAAGGCCAGGGAACTGACCTAAAGGAGACTAACGGGCTATCACATCTAAATGCAATGTGTAATTTTCTGTTGGATGCTGGATCAGAGAAAACAAGTTATAAAAGACATTACTGGGACAATCGGACAAATTTGAGTATGGACTGTATATTAGACAATAATATTGTATCAATGTTAAAGTTCTCAAGTGTGATAATTATATTGTTATATATAGAAAAAAATCTTTGTTCTTAGAAAATACAGCTTTCTCACCTAACTCTCAAATAGTTTAGCAAAAAAAAGTAAAATAATTTTATATACATTGTTAGAGAGAAAACCGCAGTACAGGCCCAAAATGGTGTCACTCGTGCCAAAAGCCCATGACTTAATGCCTGATCTAACTATAGTTTTAACCTCCTCCAGAAATGTAATTTAATTAACTTTAACCAGTCTGGAATTTTTTGATAAGGTAATCTGTCACTGTAAACCCTCTCCATCCCTTATAGCAAAGAAAGAAGAGGCAAGGCAATCTTTAAGGTAAAAACCTTTCTTCTCCTTCTTTTCCTCCCCCAAAAGATGTCCCCAAAATAATCCTTTCTTTTCTTTCACTAATAGCTCCCCTGCCCCACTCTTCTTCCTATAAAATCTAACCATTTTGAACCCCTTGGAGTGCCCATCTAGTTGCTAGATGAGACATTGCCTGATTCACTAATGGCTTAACAAAGCCAATTAGATTTTCAAATTTACTCCGTTGAACTTTGCTTTTTAACAACATATGTGCATAAAGAAATATGGAAATGCAAAACAATGTTAACTGTTAATTCTAGGTGTGGAGTACATAGTTATTCTCAATATTATTTTTGTAACTTGTTTTTATGTTTGAAATTTTTCAAAATATCAAGTTAAGGAAAGACGTTTAAACAAAATTATTTAACGTATCATAGGTACTTTAAAGTTGCCAGAATGTTTTTGTTTTTTTTTTTTTTTAATCTGCTTCAAAAACCTTGAAAATGTAGGCTTTGTCCAGTTTTACCATCCAGCAGCACAAGTGGTTTAAGTTCCCATTTCTCCCTTGTTTTTTATTAGGAGAGGATAGGCTCGCCAGTCCCCCCCCCCCCCCCCCCCCCCCCCCACCCCCTCCCCACGGCTCGCCAGCCCCTTCCCCATCCTCTCCGCATCCTCTCCTCATTCCA